TACGTTTACAGCGATAAGAATTGATCAAAGTCCGTTTCGATCATCCCGAAGAGAGAGCGCAACCGCCCCGTGTTTCTTTCGGGCTGTCCTGTAGGGATACAGCGGGTGCCTCAGCAGCCGTTGTTACTTGGTCATTGTCTTCTGCGGGCGTATAACGGCAGTTTAGCGGCAAGATTTATGGTAAGGGGGGGGAAACACGCGCGATTGATCGCGAGAGTGAGCCAGGTGCAGAATTACGCGGCACCCATTGCTGACTTCCTAATGAATGGCTGGCGATTAATACGGATTAGCGGAGGCGCGTGTATCGGCTGCGCTAAGGCGCACTTAGCCACGATTTATGCGCGACTTTGTCAACGTATTCTTCGCTGCGCGATAAAAGATGCAAAACGCGAAGGTGTTAGATGAGGAACAAGTCGCGGAATTTCTCGATCGGCAGACTAGCATCCTGCACGAGTGAAACAGTTCTGTGTAAATGCAGCACTCACGACTCCTCTTCCCTCCTCCCTTTTTTGCTACAACTGCAGACTTGTATTTAACGTGACGGATTCTTCGAAATCAGTTTTCTTTTTGTTCAGCGAAAGTTTTTACATACTAACGCTTTTGTAATTATAAAACGTCGGAACGCGAGACTTTTCTTACAGGCTCATTTCGAAAATTTCCTAGAACGATATTATCGAGAGCAAGGCAATGTCTGTAGAGCGCAAAGTAGCACGGACCATGAAAGGTAATTACCATAAAACGTGGCATCTCGCGCGCGCATATTACCCTGCTTAGATAATTACGCGATATCCGGCAGATTGGTGTTGCCGGGGTTGGTTTTGCTCCATTGGGGATCATTTGGCACTCCGTGGCGTCTCAACTAAATCGATCGGACGATTTCGCAGTATTCGCGCATATAAGCACTGGATAATTAACATCGGCCGCGCGTAATTACTCCGCGAGTTAAGTATTCGTCCGATCTTTCTGAAAATTAAATTTCCAGAGGTGCAAGGCGCGCTACGCAATTCGCAACAAAATGGTAAACGATTCAAACTGTGTGGTACGGAATGCGTGGCTTGTTTAGTTATCGATGAGATGCATTTATACAAATGATAGAAATTTGAAACGGAAAGAGAGATTTTCTTCAGTCGGTCAAAATTTGGTTTAAAGACGAAAAAGGTAAGAAGAAAGAGAAAAGGAGAAGAAAAGAAAGAAGGAAGGGAGGAAAAATAATATATTCGTAGCATTTAATGGCTTACGTCGTTGGTGGAAATATCAATATCTGAAGAGAGAAAGACGGAAATATCTCTTCTTTACTCGATAACGCTGGCGAAGAAAAATAACCGGGAAAATGCCGATATCAGGCAATGCGTTACAAGGTATCGGTGTTACATAACGGCCGCGCAACGTTGGTGCACATCTTAAATTTTATTCAAAAACATTTTAATTTTGGCACTTCTAGTTTTAATCGCACAATTAATTGCTCGATGATGAGCTATTGTGCTGTTTGAATCGCAAGTATTAAAATGCAAGCGTTAATTATTTAGAAGTAACGCAAATAATATCTGTTACATGCAATTCTTGCATGTTTTATAACACTAAATTATTCACAATGCTATACCGTTTGTATTTTTTATTTATCTTTGTCAATTTTATTTGGTATCAAGTTAGTTTAGTTCAATTATTTTATTGATAAGCATTTTTTATTTATGAATTTAATTATCGTCCGATAACCGTACTTAATTTAAAACTAACAATTTGAAATTCTCTTAATTTTCATCCAACGTATTAAATAACAGTGCGGTGGAGGATTGCAATCTTTATCAAAATACAAAGGGCAAACATTGTATTAGTTTAATCTAATATTCAACTGACGTTTGAGGGAAGAAAACCGTCTGTTTTTCTTGAGCAGCGGCAAAGCTCATTTGTTTAGCTTGAATTTCAGGGAAACTTGCTGGCCGGAATAGAATAAACCGTATCGAAGCTTCAGCTTAAGGTAGTGGATGCGAAAGTATATGCAGGTTTAATAAATCTCGACGGCTCACGCGGATAAAAGCGTGCTAAGGACGTCGTCCGATTTATTTAGTTCCTGCACTTTCGAATCTTTCTATGTCGGTATTCTCCCTGCATTTAAAGGATTGCCGAGTTAATCCTCGCAAACAGTTTGCTGCACGAGAAGCGCCCCCAGCAAAAGTAATTTGCAAACCTTCACCACAACGCAAATGCATATTAAAATATAAAATATTTAATAAACTAAGAGAGAGAGAGAGAGATTTAATGTAAACGTATAACGAGATTAAATAAGTT